CTCTCATTGTGACCGTTGGGAACAAACTGCTAGATTTTTAATTACTTTCTTTCCCTAATGGATCTCTATTTACAAGCTTATTATGAAAATATTATTTTATACTATCTAAACTCTTACACCTTTTTCTATTCGTTGAGAGCTAACCGTTGATGCAGGTAAAGAATTTTCTATCCTCACAATGTCTCTCTCTCTCTCTCACTTTCTCAAGGCTATATAAGAAAATCAAAGATTTGAAGAAAAGCTCCCTTTGGCCATCAAGCTGAAAAGCCGTGGATTCTTAAGATGTCAAAGTTGCAATGCTAAACATGTTGAAGACCACTACACATAAATGAGAGAAAAGAAAGAAAGAAGAAGAGAAAGAAGATTTCAAAAAGATATTATTCAACTATTCATGATATACATCTTGGATTAAACATGAAGAAGCAAGGAGTTGTTTCTCGTAGCTTGCTCAATGAAAAAGAAGATTCAACAAGATGCTAATCAACTATTTTCATATACATCTTGGTGAAATCAGAAGAAGAAAGGAGTATTTGCTCAGAACTTGCTAAAAAGAAGATGAAGAAGAAAAACACTACAAGATGTTACTCAATTTCTGATCATATACTTCTTTGTAAAACATTGCAATGCACACAAGATTTGTTGCTCGTATCATGTTTTACTTCTGATCTCTTCATGTAAATTGTTTTAACACTAGAGTTGTTGCTCAAAAATGTCTTAAACAATATGGGCTTAATCATTTATGTAATCTGAGTAAAGGTCTGATCTCAAGTGATATGTGTAAAGGCTGCGATCATTATGGGAAATCCTAATAGAAGATCTTAAGTGATCAGATTATGTTGGGTCAATGATAGTTATATCTCAAAGGGGACCGAGTGAAGGTCAGACCCTTGTGAGATCACTAACGAATATTATTGTGTAGAAAATTCTCTTGGATGACCTAGTTAATCAGATTCTTGATAGAGGTCAATGGTTGTTATATCCGTGAAATCAGATCACTGAACATATCATTCAAAGGTTCCTTAATAGATTGAGTGAAAGTATGATCTCAAGAAGATAATGGTTGTGTTCATTGTTGGAAACACTGATAGGATATCTTAAGTGATCGGAATCTATTAGATTAATGAATGTTATATTCGTCGAGATCACTGAATGTGTCACTGTTTTTTAGTCACCAGCAGTTGCCCGTGCACTTGTAATCAATTTGGTTATAATGGATTAGGCCTTTGTTAAGGAGAAATCATTCTTGAGGGGGTGGACAGGAGTAGACTATTTAATGGTGAACCTAGATAAATTGTTTGTGTCCTTTACTCTTCTCTGTCCTTATTATTTTCATCATTTGAGTGATCATAATTTTTAAATGGGATTGTTTTTTATAAACACAATTCAAATCCCCCTTCATTGTGTTTTATCTACCTTCATACACTTCTTACCCTGAAGATAAAATTTCATAAAGAGAATTGTCTAAAGCTATTAATGAAATGTACGCGGATTCAAAAGACTCTTTTAAGAAAATTTCTCTTTGAGAGAAAACCATTTTAAAACATGAAAAACATATTAATGATCTTAATAGCTCTTTGGATTCCTTAAAGCAAGCACATATATATCTAGTTGATGAGGATTTTAATGTTTCTAACTCTTTAGTTGGCTATGTAGAAAAAGTGGAGTGTGTTACTCGTCCGACTTTATAACTTGAAATTGAAATTATCAAAGGACAATTAATACGTGCTATTTAACTATCTACTACTAGTTCTACTTCCTCAAGTTATAGAGGGATCATTTTTCAGAAGAAAAAACCCTCATGTTACAAGAAGAAATAGAAAAGGTGTCTCATCTAAAGTTGTATGTCATAATTGTGGTGATAAATGTCACGTTAGGCCTCTTAATCATATTAGGAATGTTCAAGTACCTAGTGTTAAAATGGCATTGATACCTAAGTGTTCCTCAACTAATCCCTAAGGACCCACTAGTTGGATACCTAAATTGACTCTTTCATTGTCTGTAGTGTAACGGTAAAATTTGAGATTAAGCCATTGATTGACTTAACTCGCAATAATAATAAATCACCACCACACTTTATTGTTTCCAAAGGAATGGTAAAGAACGAATAAAACCCAAATAAAGAAGAGATCGAGGTAAGGAGTTGCTTATGAAAAGGGGAGGTATTAGCACCCTAAACATCTATGGTACTCCGCAAGAACCTCTTTGAAAATACGTGTATTTGGCAAAAGGGTAATATGTACAATATAGATTGTGAAGATGAGAAAAGAAGTATATTGGCCAAAGAAACTCTAAATATCAATTCTTGGGTAGAGGAATATGTATTTTATTTTGACTGAACCTCTATAACTTTTGGTGTTCTTCTTCTTCCCTTAGACTCTTTAAATTATGCATTTTACTTCAAAACCACGTTTTTCCAAACCACACAATTAACTCCCCTCTTGTGTGTGAAGTATCAAGTAAAACATTTTGTGTATAAGAAATTGTTAGGGGATGTCATAGTACCTAGGATTTCCAAGTTAGTGGTTTAGGTGCAAGGAGAAACACATCAAAATTGAGGAGGCCGAGTGAAATTGTAAGATTATACCATTGAGGATGTGAGACCCAAAAGTAAGAAGGCATGGAAACTTTAAGATCATACCCTTGAGGGCACAAATTAGTTGATCACTAGATACTTGTGCAATTGTGCCAAAATCTGTGACTCCCTTCGATCCACCAAGAATGTGTAGCTATGGAACTATGATTCTCCTGTGTGAGTAAAGTGTTATATTCTTAGAGTATTATATCTTTTGATATAACACATCGTGAGTTTCAATGAGTTATGAGTAGGATATTACATTATCTTTTTTACAAGATTATAAACTCGCATGAAAAATCCACATGATTTCGTGTATCATAATTAAAGTATACTTAAAACCCACCATAAATTAATTTGGAATGACACTATAGGATAAATTTACCACTTCCAAATGTTCCAAGCTATTAAGCATGTAACAAAAACATGTCATACTTATCATGTGTCGAATACGTTATGTAATTAGTTTTATAATGTATTTAACCAAAACTTTAACTTGACCTTGTTGAAAGGAACATGTAAACTTTACTCTAACAATGTTGATGTAATATTTTAAAACATCAAAAAAGTTAAAATAAAATCTAACTATGGCACATTAAATACTTTTGCCAAAAAAATTTAATTTAGGTATGGTATAAATACTTCAATCTAACTATGGTATACAAACTTTAATTTGACTATGGTATAAAGACTTTAATCTATTAAAAGAAATTTTCGTGTTTGAAATACTAGTAAAGAAGAACGCAAGAGAATCCAGTTGGGTTCTTGACGATGAAACTTTGTTGGTTTGACTCCATGATACTATCTCATACGTAGACGAATAATTAACTATTTCTTAATTTTTGCTAGGAACAGTGTCAGGAAATTATGGAGAGTTTGTCTACTGAGATAGGTGGTGATAGTGATTTTGTGTCATAATTTCTAGCATAAACTTACGAGATGATTGATGATTCGTCTATGGATGAAATAGTATCATGAAATCAAATCAACAATAGTTTTATATTCAAGACCCTATTGAATTCTCTCGTCTTATTCTTATCCAGTATGTCAAACACGACAACGTCTCTAGCTAGATTAAAGTATTTTTACCATAGGTAGATAAAAGGTTTTATAACATAATTAGTTTAAAGTATTTATAATATGCCAAGATTAAATTTTTTTGAAAATTGTTTTTTTACAAAAGTATTTAATGTGCCCTAGTTATATTTTTTTAACTTTTGTGATGTTGTTTTAAAATATTGCATCAACATTGTTAGATTAAAGCTACATTTTCATTTCAACAAGATTAAGTTGATTTTTTTTTGTTAAATACCCTCTAAATCTGACGACATTACATATCCAACACATTATGATGAGTATGGCATGTTTCTGTCATGTGCTTAATAGCTTGGAACATTTGGAAGTGGTAAATTTATACCATAGTCTCATTCCAAATTAATTTATGGTGGGTTTTAAGTATACTCTATATATGATTCATGAAATCATGTCAATTTTTCATGCAAGCTTATAATCTTAAAAAAATATCATGTAAGTTTTTTCTAGGAATGGTGTCGGGAAATCATGAAGAGTCTTTTGATTAAATCATGTGGTGGTGGTTATTTTTCGGCGCAGTTCCTAGCAAAAAAAACAACAAATCCTATCATGGAGTCAAACCAACCATAATTTCATTGTTAAGAATCCTATTGAATTCTATCGTCTTCTTCTTTGCCATTATTTCAAACACGACAATATCTCCAGATAGATTAAAGTATTTATATCATAGTTAGATTAAAAATTTTATATCATAGTTAGATTAAAATATTTACACCATAGGTTTTATTAAAGTTTTTACACCATAATAAGAGTAAAATATTTATACCGTAGTAAATAAAGTTTCATTTCCATAATTATCATGAACTCATTGCCACTCCATGATCTCATTGTAGTTTTATTTCAATTTTTTTATATTTGAAAATTTACACATGAAAAAAACATACTTTAACATAACATATAAAATAAGTAGTAAGTTCAAGATAGCATACAAGTGATTTCAACTATATGTAACATTATCACATATAACATCAACATGAGAAAGAGAGAAAACAAATGTAAAGAGATCCTATTTTTTCAATTCTTTAGCAAACAAGTCAAATATCAGTTTCTTTATTTTTTTAACATAAACATCAGTATGATTGCCACAACTAGAAACAACTAGAAAACAAAAAAGTTACAACATAATCTAACATCCAATATCTAAAATACAACATAACCTCTATTTAGAAAAAATTTAAAGTCTTTTAACTAGTTCCAACTAGATTCCTAATTCAAGAGAGTAGAAGAATTTGTGCATTCTCAAAAGATGTTTGAAATTTAGCATTCCATCAATAAGATGCTCACATTGTAGTAACATTACACATGCATTAAAGAACTTCATCATGCTTCTAGCTAGTTACTGTGACATACAAGGATGATTGTCTTGGTTGCTAGATAAAGCTTTTAACTGAGCTTCCATCTGTGCCTTCTTATTAGTCTTTTTAGTGTTCCTTATACACTTTTTTGAACTCACAACATTATCAATAGGAAGTGAATTGTTTGGTTGCGGAGAATCATTTGGAGATTTTGCAGCTTCAGGTGCTGCCTCAGGTTTTGGCATCTCAGGTTATTGATTTGTTGAAATAATTGGGACATACTCAGAACATACAGTTTCAATCTTATTAATATTTTCATTACCCGCATGAACAACAATCTCATGCCTTTATCGTCCAATCCCCAGATAAGTTCACTCGAAAGTGCAGTCTTTTCTATGAGTGAAAGAATTAAAGTATCACAAATGGGCAATAAGGTCTTTGGTAAGACTGCATTAAAAATAAGATTTAAAATCACCAAGTGATTTGTCCAGCATTGAAAGAATAGCTACATGAGCTCCTTAATCCTCTGCATCCTTTTTCCTTCTTGCTGAGCTTTTGTCTTGATAATTTGAGACCTAAAACAAGATTTAAAATGAAGCTTATAAAAAATTTATAAAAAGAAAATAAAAGACCTTTACAAACATATTTAGTATTTATAATATTAGTTAATAAAAAATTTAATACATTAATAAAATTGATTATATTTTAATAAATTAATTTATAATAAAAGAATGAATAAAATTATAATATGTGCCTGAAATATTTAATAACTAATAATATGATTAATATTAGTTAAATTAAAAAGATAAACTTGAGGCCTAAAAAATGAGGCCAAAGACGAGTCTCGCTTGTCTTTGAACCCACCTTGATATATATATTTTTATAAGTAAGATAAAAAAAGTTATATGATAAAAAATAAGACATCTAAAAATTAAATTACTTGTTCCTCACAAAATTATGTCAATGTGATAAAATTCAGATTCAAATAAAAATAAGTACTACATATAAAGATAAAAACAATTAATTAATATTCACATATTATGATCATAAATATATATAATTCTCAAAGTTATTACCTTATTTAAAAAACAAGATTAAACCACCTTAAATTTTTTGTACACACGCGTTATTTTATATTTAATCAAGGAAATTACGGCCGATGGAGATTGAATCTGAAATGATAAACAATAAACAAATGTCAAGAGCATGGTTGATGAGTAAAAAATAAAATATAACCAATTATTTCAAGTCAATCAGGACTTCGATGATAGTCTATAAATTAAGTATTGTTTCAGCGCTCATAGATCTAGTCGAAAGAATATAAAACAACACAGAATTAAACAAAATATCACGACTCAATTATTAAACAGGAAAATATAATGTTGAAGAATGAAATTGCAATCGATGTTGTCTCAATCCATAACATACAATCCTAATCAATTAAATAATAGAAGAATATATGTTGGGAATACCTTTTATATGAATGATTGATGGATAGATAGTGAAATTTGCCTTTGCTACTCTTAGTAAATGTAAGATATGCAACAAATAAAGATACTCTTATATTTCTTAGGCGGCCGCCATGGTCATCTCATGTTTTGTTGAAGTGGTGACTGCATCCCCTTTTATAATGGGCTAACAAAATGATAGGTTATAATTAGGTTAAACTTTCAAGTTATATAAATTAAGGTTTAATTGCAATTTTAGTCCCTCTATTTTCATTTTTTTTAAGTTTTGTTTCCTCTATTTTAAAATTACCTTTTTTTTATCTCTAAATATTATATTGTTTTGGATTTTAGTCCCCCATTTCATTTTGGTGTCATATTTTATGACAAGGCAGATAAAGTAACGATGTGTAATGACTTAAGTGCCATAGTTAAGTTGTATGTAATTTGTAATAATAATAATATAATTTTATATTTAAATTAAATAAATTTTTTTAATGTAATTTAAATTTAAAATAAAAAAAAAACTTAAATCAAGTTACTTTTATAAATTCAAAACTAGAATGAAATGGGAATCAAACACAAGACCACTCATGTGAGAGATGCCTTTGGCCTTACTTGTGAACCATCTAAGCACCACATATTCATGTTTAATTGAATGAAAGAATAATATATATATATATATATATATATATATATATATATATATATATATATATATATATATATATATATATATATACACTATTATTATTCAAATAGTATACATTACACAAAATAATCTCAATACAGTGCTATAGTAGATGCCAAAATGACTAAACTACTCTGAACAAAAAATTTGATAAGTGTTAGTGTATCATTGACATGTGAGGGATGAATTCAGCCAAGAAGCTCATTATATCTAATGCGTAATATGCATGATTTCTTCTCTTGTGATATGGGTTAATGTTAATTACTTTGTTACTTTTTTTTTACAAGTGGTTACATTGTTCCTTAAACTTCAATGCTTCTGAACATGAAGAAATTATAACTGGTAAATGCAACCTAGTTTAAATCTTTTGTAAGGGCTACACTCCACTCATGTAGATGCAACCTAATTTTATCTTTATTGTTTTTAGCTAATGCTTTATTTCATATGCAGAAAACATAATTAGCTTCCTGAAGTTGTATGTATCTAATACATTAAGGGGGAGAATCCCAATTCAATTTCGTTATTTGTCTCATAAGCTTTCATTTTATTTATTATTGTTTATTGAGTCTTCTCTTCAAATTTACATCTTTGGATTAAGTTTTTAATCCATTCATTTTAGCATGTGTAGTTCAAGTGTTTACATCTGAGTATGATCATTGTGTTTTAAGTCAATTGGTTGAGTTAATGGAACAAGAATTATAGTTGATGTTGGTTCAAGTTATTTAGAAAGTGGAATCTCAAATTATTTTGAAAAAATTGATTTATTTTGTGTATGAGTTGAAGCACTCATAAACTATGACTCAAATCAAATCAAACAAATGAAAACATGAAGATTTTTGCATTCGTGACTCGGATAACAATTTTCACTTAATTCAAATCAAGCAACATTGTGACTCGAATCACAAGTTGCACATGATTTAAATCACACAGTTCCTATTAGCCACTGCCTAATTTAATTTGAATCACCAATTACACACGACTCGGGTCATAAATATTTTCATATTTTCCTTTTTAGATATGTCCAAATTGATATGAATAAGGGTTTCTAGATGACTCAAATCACCATCGTTCATGACTCAAATTACAGATATAACTTGCTCGCGTCACAGGAAATGGGTCACTTCATTTATCTTTATCTAGTTCCACTCAACTTGCTTATATTGACTCAAATCAACAAATGTTCTTGACTCAAATATTACAACCATTTTCCACCAATTTTTAGGCTTAATCTCCAGCACATGTGATTTCTATTGACCTTCGTAGCTATGTGGAAGCCTATAGAAAAGGTAGGTTTTCTTCTCAATCTTCGGAAAATTCCTTGCTCAATAAATAAGTGGGATCAAGGGAATTTCCACATACGAGGACTTGGAGAAGATTGGTGAAGCTGGAAGATTCAAAAAGTAAGTAAAGATTTCTCATATCGTTAGACATAAAGGTTGTATACAAGTCAAGATCCAAATAGGAGATTTCTCATATCGTTAGACTCGTGTAATATTTATCAAAACATATTGGAAGTACAACTTTCAATGGGAAACCATTTGAGAATGGAGTAGGCTCCTGTGAGGATTATAGTGTTAAACCATCATACATCCCAATGTAATATCTCTCTCTCATTATAATTAATGTAGGTCATTGCAAGTTTAGGTAATAGTTTTCTAGTGTAGTTTATCATTAGTTCTTGTTGGTACATATTAATTATATAATTGTAGGGTTTTTTAGAATTGGAACTTATTTGTGTTTTAGTATTGATTAAAATCTGCAAACTGTGGTGTTAGAATCCTTAGCAATTGAATTTTGAAAAGAACATATCTTGTGTAATTTTCTTATTGTCAATTTTTTGTAGTTTGTATGTCTTTAGATATAATCTTTAATAAATATGAGATAGTTGTTAATTGTATAACTGTATTCGTAATTAATTTCCAATTCAAGCATAAAGTCTCTATTTTTTATATAAGATTTTTGCTTCAAAAAAATATGAACTTTCATTTTGAAAATTGGCCAAAATTTTTAAAGTGTTCTATTCATCCCCCGCTATATCGTTCCTCTACTCCATATTCTCACCCAAAAATTGATCTCATAGATGGTCTTTTGATCAGGTCTAAACGACTCATAAGTTCGGGTATATGGATAATGGAAATCCAACGAGAGCGTATAATAGAGTTCCAATTTTTAATGGCAGTGTAATACGGTGGCAGAACTGACTTTAGGGTTTTGCGTTTTATCGCAAATGTTGCGGATAGCAGGAGTCGCCACCGATTTTTCTTTTATCCAGTAAAGGAAAGGGTGAAAGTAACAGGAAAGACCTTTAAGAATTTTCTGTGTTAGGGGGATAGGTTATGAAGATGCCAATGTAAGGCAATCTTCTTTATAATAACCCTTGTATCAGTCCTCAAGAGTGTTTATAAAGCACTTTGAAAGTAGTTGTTTTGAATGTGTGAGGTGTGAAAATTGTTTTAGTTTTTGAGCAAGCGATTACGAGCGATCTACCTATTCAATGGTCTTTCATTATTTTCCTCCTCTTTTAGATAGTACTATCCTACCATTAGTTAGTAGGAAGCCCCATCATTGGATGTGAGGGACAAGCACAGGTCATTGTACAGTCATAGAAGACAACTCGTAGGACACTTTAGCAATTTTCGTAAGGGACTAAGATTGTTTACCGAAGGCAACATCGAAGGGTCATCGAGGGACTACGATATTTTTTATTGAGGGTCTTTGCTAAAGCGTCCCACGTTCGAGGGACATGACTGGTTTATCTGAAGGCAACAAGCGAGGTTACCATAGAGGTGCATGTGTGAATGGTGTTTTGATTTAAGTTAATTTTTCTTGATTAGGGTTATCTAGAGGTTGATTTTAAATTTTTTATACACGTCTAATTACTATACAATGATAAGTAAATGCGGAAAATAAAGTTCTACGCTATTACAATGCTTCAGAAATAGGGGGTACAAATTTATGAATGAGGATAACATAAGAAATAAACACCCAAGCTATAAGTAAATCACACAATACAAGTCCAAACTATTAATAATTATTTAAGTTAAAATTCTTTTCATTTGATAAAATTAATTAATAATTTAATTAATAATTTAAAAAAAAATTGTTTTAA